GAAGGACCTTGCCCTTGGGTTAATGCTCTGCTGTCACTATCTTGAAATTCTTAATAACTTTTTTTAACAGGAGCCCCACATTTTCATATTGCAGTTGGCCCTAGTAGCTCATCTCACCCAAGGAATTCTTGTTAGAGCTCTTCTGCTTCCTCTCCATCTTCTGCTTCCTCTCCCCTCACCATCCCACTGCCCTCAGCTCTCTACCAGTCCTTGCAGAGTCTCAGGTGTGCACAACTTTGGGGCCCTCTCTCCAAGTCCCCTTTGTCAAAACCCAAGTTCTGAATGTATTCCTAATGCATGGAGTTTCATTCGCTCTAGCCTCCCCACTCTAACCGGAAGGGACAGATCACCTTGTTTAGACTAAAGAGTTAACAGCTGAGAAAGTGTAAGGTGTTACCTTCACCTTCTATCTCCACGTTCACTGAACTTTAAACAAGAATGATTCTTTTCGTCAAGGACTGGCTCTCTAATAGCCGTATTTCAGACATTCGCCACACACAGATATTTTAGGCACCCTCCATAGACAGATATTTTGGGATGAGGCATCTTGCTATGTTCCTCAAATGATATTCTTAAGGCAACTGCTGACAGTACCACTCTGTCTCTTCATGAAATAGCTCTCATTCATACTTGACATTATTTTCTAAAAATTACGGTATCATTGCATTTTTTTTAATTGGCAAAGCGTTCACAAAAAGATATGTCTGTCAAGCAGTTTTGCGATAAACATATTTGGAAAGACTGTTTACTTTCATCTGTGATGACCACACTCTTTGGGTTAGAAATTGGAAGCCCTAGGTTCCAAAGAGGTCTCCTTTGCCAGCTTTTTAGCTACATGATCTTGGACAAGTTCCTTGACGATCCTAAATTCTTTGTTTCCTTATTTAAAACAAACAGAGCCAAAGAACACCTCTGTTCCTACTTTTGGGTTCATTTTGGGAGTTAAATGAGACTTGTGAGATATGTGCTTTAAAGGCCATGGCAGGGAGGCCATGATTATGAAATCAACTTCCAAGTGTCAATACTGCATTCTGGAATGTCCGAAGACAGATCCAGGACTGAAGGCGAGGGTGATCACAGGGACTAGGGCTGGGGACAAGGTCTAAAGAACTAATGAAGAATGAATAAGTTACAAGAGCAGAGAGGTGGGCGATCAGATTTTCTGGGGCCTGTTTTCTTTTACTGGCATGAGTTGAGGATATGGTCAAAGGCAGCAATCACCTACAAATTGGAATTTTCACAGTGAAATAGGACAGGAAAAAAAAATTAGAAACTGAAGCAAGAGGCAAGAAGCCTGGGGGAAAAGAAGTTGGATGAGGTGAAGGAAAGGAGGAAGTGTTTCTGTCTTGCTTTTCATAATAACTAGGGGGAGTGCATAGCAGAAGGCAGAGACCAAAAAAAAAAAAAAAAAATCTGTGTTGATCCCGTGAAGGCAGGCAGGCAGGCAAAGGAAAGCCGTCTCAAGGAAGGCTTTAAAGAGAGGATCCACTTCATAAACAACAGAAGCAGCTGCTCAGAAAGAATGTATGTAGAAGAGATGTTGATTAATGACTCAGTGAAAATGATTTCCAGACACGTCTTGGCAGTAATTCAAATCCAGGGGGGTAGGGAGCCGTCAGATCAGCAGAGAAGTTTTGATATGTTTTCGAGATCCTATCGGGAATAAAAAGACAAGCCTTGTGGGGGAGACCTTGGTGGTGATGGAAGGCCAAGGCTAAAATATCTGACAGTTTGCTTTAGGAAGGAAGGAGCCGATAGAGGAGGCATTGTGATATGGTTTAAAAAATGTATTTGTGATTCCATTCAGAGCTAGAGGACAATCTGGCAGACCTGACAGGGGAATGTGGCTGGGAAGGGGAAGCCAAGGGGGACGTCAGGCTGTAAGAGCAGGTGGGGGAGGTGGGAGATGCGGGGAGGGTGAACAGGCAAGATTGAAGAATTAAAAAGCCAAAAAAAAAAAAAAAAAAGAGCAAACCAAACCCATTTTTTCCCTAGGTGTTGCTCCAAATAGGGTCAGGGATGTTGTTGGTCATCCGGGTTCGGGGTGAGACTAGACCATGGAGGAGCCTGGTGCTCGTGGAGTTTCAGCACTCACTATAAGAGAGCAGGGCGCAGGGGTATGGACCAAAGTCCCCGAGAAGTTTGGGGTCCTGTGCAGGAGGCTTGTGTATGGAAGCACAAAGAGGAGATCGAGGTCACTGTGGGAGCAGGTCCAGGCTGACTTGGTGCGGTCCTTTACCCTCTGATGCAAGCCCCACTTCCAGGTGAAGGGAGGCCCCACATCTGGAGTGAAAATCCAGACTCTATTCCAGCAGGACAGAAAGACAGTTCTGGATGGAAGGACACTAGGACAGTAATTGCAGGAGAAGGAGAAGAGATCACTGGAGGTGATCTTATGTACAGAAAGAAAATATTTTTGGAAGCAGTTACATGTGGCATATGGAAAGGGGAGAAGTGGGAGAGGTAGAGAGAGTATTAGAAACACGGGCTGAGCATTCTACTAAGTACGTCCTGGAGGTAATCTCATCTCTCTACTGCCATAGCCCCGAGATGTACATGTAAGAATACATATTGCTTCCAGTTTATAGACGCATGTTTAGGTTTCTTGCTACATATATCGAAAAAAAAACAGTGGGTAAACTTGACCACATGTTTACTGTGTGCCAGTAATTTATAGATTATCTCTTCCTCCTTACAACAATAGCAAGTAGATACAAGTATGACTTCCATCTTCCAGCCAAGAAAGCCTGGACATGGGGGTGTCTTAGAACTTGCTGAAGTCCACACAACCAGGAAAGGGAAGCCGCCATGAGGCTCACCCAGGCCCTGTGTTCCCAGAGACCACTGGGGTAACTATGGCAATGAACAGCTGCTGCGAAGCCAGTCAAAACTGAGAGAAAAAGAGACAGAAGATACACCGACAAAGACTTAGAAGCCATTCCTGAAGAAGAGAAAAGACAGCAGGGCCAAGGAAAGGAAGACCTCATCTGGACAGAGGGATTTGAAAGTTTAATTTTTAGAGATAGGAGAAAATGTGTTGGTAATTTTAATAACAATGAAGACAATAAAAACACGGTACACATTAACTGAAGGTTTACTATGTGACAGATCCTGTTCTAAGTGGCATATATGAAAGAATAGAGATGAACAGAATTTTTAGACCAATCCTGTGTCTCTTTTATTGAAACCCCAAGATGTAGCACATAGTAGGTGCTCAATAAATATTTGTTGGACGAATCTTTAAGGGTAACCATCTACACTTTTTAGAATCTTTGGGCTCCAGGGCTGAAGTCCAAAAGACTCAGCTCCCATGGCCTCCTTGTTTTCTTACTCCATAGCATTTATCTGTGTCTGAAATTATCCTGCTTTCTTCTTTCCTTTTTTATTATCTGTCTGTCTGTCTCTCTGCATAAGCATGTAAACCCTGGGAGAGCCAAGACTCACTCATTTTGTTCAGTGCTATACTTGTAGCGTCCAGAACAATGCTTTAGGCATAGGAGGCAATTAATAACCATTTGCTGCATGAATGAAAGAAGAGAACCCACTATTCCAGCCTTTCCAAAAAACTCCTGAATTGCAGAGCAGAGAGGCTGGCTGCCCAGTAATGAGGATGCGGCATCTTTTCCTGTGCCTGTTTTCAAAGAGCATCTGTTTACTTTCTATACCACTGACTCAACTGAGAGGCTTAGTTGTGGAGGAGGGAAGACGAGAAGTTTCTGGTTTGCTTTGTTTTCAGCACAGATAAACACAGATCATCACAAAGATGATCGAACCATCTCTGTATGAAAACAACTCTTCCATCTCACACCCATTAGGATGGCTACCATTAAACAACAACAACAAACGTGAAATAACAAGTGTTGGCAAAGGTGTAGAGGACTTGGAACCCTTGTGCCCTACTGTGGAAGGCAGCATGGCAGTTCCTCAAAAAATTAGAGAGAATTCCTATATGATCCAGCAATCTCGTTTCTGGGTACGTATCTAAAAGGATCTCGACCGCTATTTGTATGCCCACATGCATGATGGGATTATCCACCATAGCCAAAAGGTGGAAGCAACCAAGTTATCTACTGATGGATGAAGGGATTAAAAAAATATGATCTATACACAAATGGAATATTATTCAGCCTTAAAAAGTACGGACAGTCTGACACATGCCACCACATGGACGAATCTTGAAGATATTATGTGAAGGAAAATCCCAGGGTCCTGGGGGCCCAAGGGAATAGGAAGTTGTTTAAAGGGAACAGAGCTTTGCCAGATGAAAGGAGCTCTGGAGACTGGCTGCACAACACTTGAAAATACTTAACACCACTAAACTAAACTGTACTGTTAAAAATGGTTAAGATAGTAAATTTTTTTATGTGCATCTTTCCCAATTAAAAGAAGTAGATTAAAAAAAAAAGATGACTCTTGTTAGTGTGACATATGCCTCATTTTATACACTCAAGATCCTAAAGTGAATGATTCAGCGAAGTCATACGAAATTGCAGAGTAAATAAGAAGGAAGAGGGTGTAAGACAAAGAAGGAACAGTATCACCATAAATAACCTGTATTAGAGATGAGGAGGGATTAAACATAAGCTTTTGGTTTTGTACTCTTTTTTTTTTTTTAAAGATTTTATTTATTTACTTGAGAGAGAGAGCATGTGTACATGAGTGGAGTTGGGGGAGGGCAGAGCGGGAGGGAGAAGCATCCTCCTTGCCGAGCAGGGAGCCTGATGCGGGGCTCGATCCCAGGACCCTGAGACCATGACCTGAGCTGAAGGCTGACGCTTAACAGACTGAGCCACCCAGGTGCTCCTGGTTTTGCATTTTTGATGGTCAGTGTTGCAAATAACACTTTCTTTAATGGCTTTTTAATGTAAGATATACCTCAGCATTTTACACAGATCTCTCTAGAGATTTAAGACTGGAGCCTGCGAGGGTTGTGAAGTCAGGCTGATCGGATCATGGCGCTCTTATGTGACATCTCTGGCCCCAGTCCTGCAGACACTCACCTGTCCACACGAAGCTGGCAGACGATGCTTAGCGCATCGACAACTCCTTCTTCTTTCAACTGTCGACAGCCAATGGATGTAGCAATAAAACACCCCGTTCTACCTATCCCTGCACTGGAAAGAAAAGACAAAGAATAAAAAGGTGGAGGAAAAGTAGAAAACATAGAATATATTATTTTATTTATTTATTTAGGTTTTTGAAAAATTTTTTTAATTTTTATTTATTTTTAAAATTTCTTTTCAGTGTTCCAAAATTCATTGGGTTTTTGAAAATTTTAATTCCAGTATGATATTCATCTCCGGGGCACAAGATAGAGATTGGACAATTCCATACAACACCCAGTGCTCCTCGCGACCAGTGTACTCCTTAACCCCCATCGCTTATCTCACCCACCTCCCCCCATTGCCTTCCCAAGAGAAAAGATAGTCTTTCAAAAGGGTACATCTAATTCTGAAACAGCAAGCCAGGCTTAGCAACAATGACAAAAGCTCTCAGGCCCAGATGACACACCTGGCCCAGAGCAGCACTTAAAGTCATTGAGTTACTAGCAGAGAGAGTTGGGTGGAGGGAGAAAAGAGAAAAAGCCACTGTAATTATTCCACAAAGAATAATGCAGACCTGAATTTAGGGAAGGTATAGGCACTAGAAAGGAGGAGATAGACTTAGACACATCACAAATGTGAATCTGGGGGACGGGAAGAAAGGTACTGCCTATGAGACAAAGGGAAAATTCTAGAAGAAGGGCTGATTTGGGTGCGGGGCAGGTTGTTTTTGGATATACCGATGTTGAAGATTCCACTGAGGGACTGAAGATTCAGCTGGGTTTGGGAGAAGGATGTGGCCAGAGGCACAAGCTTCTGAGTCATTTATATCCAGGTGATAGTTGAATAGAAACGTTATCCTATCCATCCAGGAGTCCTGGAGGGGTTTGCTCATTCATCTGCCCTAGATGGTAAGTCATCACCCTAACAAGCCCTTTAACTCTCCCTCCCCATCCCTCCTCCCTCTCCCTCTCCTCCCACCCCTTAGCAATTTCAACTACTAATAGCCTATATGCAAATTTCTCTCAAATTTCCATCTAAATTCCCTAAGTTTCTTCTAAACTCTAGATTAGCATTCTATCTCTTAGCTGGAACTCTTGATGTTACTATTTTGCACTGGCTTCAATTCAATGTATCTAAATTCAGTGTATCTGAAACAGAATTAATTATCTTTTCCCTCAATGGCATTACCAGTTAGCCACAAGTTTTCCAGCCTAGGAATCTTGGAGCCATCTCCAACATCTCCCCCCTTTCACCTCCCACATCCAATCTGTTACCAATTCTTGTATTTTCCACCTCTACTGAAGCTTCTGGGATCCATGCTTTCTTTTCTATAAACTGTGCTCACGTTTTCGACATCTCCTTACTTCATGGTTAGCAGTGATCTCATTATGGTTGCCAAGTCTTGAGTCTCTTCCTGGACTAATTCACGATATACACAGCTGCTAGGTTCATCTTTCTAAAATAGGGATCTGATCATATTACTCTCTACTCAAAGACTGTAGATGCCTCCCAGTAGTTATGGGTAGTGTCTGAGCTCTCCTCTATGCTGTCCCTGACCTTGCATAATACGAATGGGACTAACTTTCAAGCTTTTGGTCTTTCTACTGTCCTCCTTGTATCCTTTGTGCCATTTTTGTCATCTACATGAATCACTGCAAAAAATGGCTTTTATTTTCCAACTTTCCTTTCTGTGTTAATGATATTCCTTCCGTCAGAAACTCTCTCATTACCAGCCTTTAAAACCACAAACATTGGTCATTTTTTAAGATCTTGCTCGACATTATTCCAACTCTTAGAAGCTTTCTTCAGTCCTCATGATTTGAATTAATAGTTTCCTTCTCGGCGCTCAAATAGCATTTGTTTCTTCTATCTGGCACTTGTTTCTTTTCTTTCTTTCTTTTTCTTTTCTTTTTTTTAAAAGATTTTATGTATTCATTTGAGAGACAGAGAGAGAGCACAAACAGGGGAAGAGGTAGAGAGAAAAGCAGACTCTCCACCTCGCCGAGCATGAGCTGATGGGGGGCTCGATCCAGGGACCTGGAGTTCAGGACCTGAGCCGAAGGCAGATGTTTAACCATCTGAGCCACCCAGGCATCCCTTTGCACTTGTTTCTTACTGAATGTGAGTGCAGAGGAATTCAGAGATGGAAAGGGTCCCTTTTAGTTGAAGAGTCTATAAAGAGTTTGTTTCACTAAAAAGATAGGATTTGAACTGTACCCTAAATGACAGGCATTTTGGTCATCGTGAATGAGAGGGAATATTGCATGTATGAGAACGGTGTAAAGAAAGAATTGCTGTAGAGCAGGATATGTGATGTGCAGTAGTGACTAGACTGGCCTGGCCTGAAGAGAAAGTTACCTTAGAGAAATGGTGGGAAACAAGACTGGGCAAGCACACTGGGGCCTAAAAGGATCTTATAGGGAAAGCTAAGAGGTTTGGACTTCGTCCTCTAAAAAATTTGTGCTTTTATTTTTGCTGTTGTTGTTGTTGAGAATTTGATAAAACTTAGGACTTCAATGACCCCTGTAGTTATCCATAGGCCCAGGGTTAAGATCTTTTGCTCTAGGCAATGGGGTGCCATCGAGAAGTGCTGAGGAGGAATTCCAAATGATGAAGGAGAATTTTGGAAACATCAGTCAAGAGAAGTGGATGGGGTAGCCTGTGCTGGGGGTGGGGCACGGGGAAGTGGGGTGTGTTTGTGCAATTAGCCGACTACTTCTTAAATACATGGATGAGGTCATTAGGGCCTGAACTTGGGTGGTTGGACAGGAAGTGATGATTATGGGAGAAGCTTTGAAGGGAAAGCCAATCTGGTGACTGATTAGATACTGAGGCTGGAGTTGAGAGAAGGGCCAAAGATAACTGTCAACATTAGATGTTGAGTGCTTGGAAAAAAGCTGCTCTTATTCTTAGAAATAGTCATCAGCAGGGGAACTGGTTTTATAGGGGAAACAGCTCGTTCATTTTAGATATCCTGAGTGTTTTATGATTTTGGGTGGAGGACAGTTCCAGCCCTAAAACATGCTCCATTAGGCTGTCTTTCCTCACCCCCAGGCAAAGTTTAGGATAAGGCCTAATGCTAGAAACTGGATAATGACTCTTTTGGATATAAAGATACACAGTGAATTTTACTCTTAATTAAACCACAAAGGTTCAAGGAAGAGGAGGCTAAAGTTACAATGTTAATTATATTTTATTTGTTACAAATATCACCAAAAGCTATCTTGCAAGGCTTATGAGTTTAAACAAAGCAACATAAATTACTTTGACAAAGTACAAAGAATAAATAAATGACTGGTTATGTAAATTACTTTAAAGTGATTTGCTTTCGTTTGGGCACACTAAAAGGAAAAGGGGAAGGAGGTATTGGTTATGAGAGGAGAGTTTTAAGCTAGATGTTAAGGAAGGGACTCACCTTGGACATCTGTGGCTTTTATCTGCCTAACCTCCAATACCCCACTTTCTGGTAACTACACTTTGTTCTCCTTTTGGTGAATTATCATTTACCCACTTCCCCCTTCATAAATTTATTTCCACTTTTTTTTTTTTTTTAAACGAAATCACTTTCAAAGTAGCTGACTGGTTTTTACCATGTTTGATATAATAATACGTGTTCTCAAGATACCATCTCAAGATACCATTCAAGTATGGTTCAATAAAAAAGCCATTCACAATTTTTTAAAAACGTGCCATTCCTCCCATCAAAGAGCCTGAGGAGACTAAACAAATTGATGTATGTTTCAAGGTCGAGGGCTGAAAAAAGTCTCCTGTTCCCTGAGCCATTGATGTAAAAGTGCTGTTTTCTCTACTGTGTTATTGTTGTTTGCTGAAATGACCTGATACTACCAGACTTCATTTCTATAATGTACCATCTCAATCAAAAATCAAATATGAGGAAGTGAGCCAATTTCAGTAAATATTGAATTTACCAACAGAGTCACAACCAGGAAGCACCACCCAGCCTCCACCCATTCGATGGCTTTACGGAGGATGGACTGTTGCTTAGGCAGGAAGGACAGCTCATCCCTTACCTGCAGTGGACGACCACAGGCCCCCGGCCCGTGGAAGCAAGTCTGTCTTCTTCGACATCCAGCATGAGCTGTAGAAGAGGTTGAGCACTGTCTGGAGTCTTGTGATCGGGCCATGAGGTGTACCAGTAATGCTTCACATGCTGGGTGTGACTTCCTTGCTGAAAATAGCAAGAGCCACCAAATGCCTCATTTACTTGTGGAACTAAAAGTCATCCAAACCACAATACTGAATGCCTTCTATCACTCCCAGCTTGCTGGCAACTTACTTCTGGATGGAAAAAAGACATCTAGGAAATTGCTGAAGTGCCCTTTTCTACCTTGAGAAAACATGACTTTACATACAATGAGATCTTGCCTCTATTCAATGAGAAATGGATATTTACAACTGAAAAGACATGTGAAACCTACACTATCTATACGTTTGTGATTTATTGTAATAAACAGAACGGCTGTCGCAAAGGAAGCCAAGAGGGAATTGGAATACGGTGTGCTTCCTGCTCTTTGAACATTCTTGACAAGTGATGATAAACATATGAACCCACCTAGGAACACTTGATTTTATACTTGGCCCCGACACTTGACTTTTTACATTCATCCCAAATTGCAGTTTATAGCAGCCATGAGGAGTCCCAGGAATAAAGGAGCTATAAGGAAGGGGTCACTAAATGAGACAAGCTTTGAGGGAGGGTCCATGAACATCACCAAGTAACCCGGTGCCCAGTGTGGGGGGCCCGACACGGAGTAGGCACTCGAGGGTATGTGTTGAAAAGGGTGCTTTCCTATCTCGAATTGCCTTCTAAAACCCTCAGTGAAGCTCTGCCTCTCCTCTCTGTGATGCTTCTGTTCCAGCAGTGAGGCTCTAGACGGGGTTGAGATCTTTGAGATGATTGTTCTCTAGAAGCAAAAATAATACCATGGCAATGTTCCTCAAATCTGCTGCCCGTGATTTCAATAAGATAACTTTTGTATGATGTAATGTGGTCTGGGGAAAGTCCCCATAAATTACTGTAACTCCATGTTTGGGAAGATCTCATCAACACTTCAGGCTTGTCTTGCCTCCCACAGCCACCCACAAACACAGATTTTCTCTTTCACGGTTTCTAGGCCTTACTAAAAGCTGCTTAAACCAAAGGCACGTTAAAAAACAACAATAACAACAACCAAAAAACAACACCCCCCCCCCAATTGTGGTAAAATCTCCAGTATAAACCTTTAGTTAAAGGCATTTCAAAGGTTAAATCAGGAATGTTTTGCTTATAGAAATTAGAAGATCACAACATCCTACTTAGTGAATTTCCTTAATGCCTGCTTGTATTAAATTAATTATTCCACATACTGAGAGTAGCTGACGACAAAGAAATACATGAGGGGATGATTATCATTTCTCTTTGATCTTGACATTATTTTTTTAAATTGAATCTGTAGTACTTCTTAAGATAAATAATTTCAGAGGAGAAATGTAATCCTGTCATATGATCCACTTTGTAGATAGCGACAGCTACATAATCTTACCTTTAAGACAAGGTTTCGAACAGTGTAGTTGTCACATTCATTTACATTGATGACCAGAACCTCAACTTTCCCATATATTCCTCTCTTTTCTGGCCAGTAAAGCACACATTTCTGGAAGAGGAGAAAAAAAGAACACAGCAGATAGTAATGATTTCACTGGTCTTTGAGTACTTTTCATTGAAGTATCTCAATAGTTTTTATTTAATTAATTCTAAAAATATCAAGTATTGATTTTACAAGGCTAGAAATGTACTAAAAACCACTGAATTATACATATTAAACAACTGACTTTTATAGTATGTAAATTATATCTCAATAACATTTTAAAAATGAAGTATCAATTTTTACATGTGCCTGTCAAACACTATTGCTACTAACCCCATACAAAATGGGGGGAAAACTTCCCCAAAATCTGAAATGAATAATCTTCGACAAAACAGGAAAAAATATTCAGTGGAAAAAAGACAGTCTCTTCAATAAATGGTGCTGGGAAAATTGGACAGCTATATGTGGAAGAATGAAACTCAACCATTCTCTTATGCCACACACAAAGATAAACTCGAAATGGATAAAAGACCGCAATGTGAGACAGAAATCCATCAAAATTCTAGAGGTGAACATAAGCAGTAACCTCTTCGACATTGTCTACTGCAACTTCTTTCAAGATATATCTCCAAAGGCAAAGGAAACAAAATGAACTTTTGGGACTTCGTTAAGATCAAAAGCTTCTGCATAGCAAAGGAAACAGTCAACAAAACAAAGAGGAAACCCATGGAATGGGAGAAGATATTTGCAAATGACACTACAGACAAGGGGCTGATATCCAAGATCTACAAAGAACATCTTAAACGCAACACACACAAAACAGATAATCACGTCAAAAAATGGGCAGAAGACATGAACAGACACTGCCAAAATTAACAAGACAGTAAACAACAGGTGTTGGAGAAGATGTGGAGAAAGGGGAACCCTCTTACACTGTTGGTGGGAATGCAAGTTGGTGCAGCCACTTTGGAAAAGTGTGGGGACTCTTTAAGAAATTAAAAACAGAGCTACCCTATGACCCTGCAATTGCACTACTGGGTTTTTACCCCAAAGATACTGATATAGTGAAAAGAAGGGCCATATGTACCCCAGTGTTCGTAGCAGCAATGGCCACAGTCACCAAACTGTGGAAAGAACCAAGATGCCTTCAACAGATGAATGGATAAAGAAGATGTGGTCCATATATACTATGGAGTATTATGCCTCCATCAGAAAGGATGAATACCCAACTTTTGTATCAACATGGACGGGACTGGAAGAGATTATGCTGAGTGAAATAAGTCAAGCAGAGAGAGTCAATTTTCATATGGTTTCACTTACTTGTGGAGCATAAGGAATAACACAGAGGACACTGGGAGATGGAGAGGAGAAGTGAGTTGGGGGAAATTGGAGGGGGAGAAGAACCATGAAAGGAACTCTGAGAAACAAACTGAGGGTTTTGGAGGGGAGAGGGAGTGGGAGGTTGGGTGAGCCTGGTGGTGGGTATTATGGAGGGCCCGTATTGCATGGAACACTGGGTGTGGTGCATAAACAATGAATTTTGGAACATTGAAAAAAATTTAAATTAAATTAAAAAAAAAAAAAGAAAAAGAAAAGAAAAAAAAAACCTGAAATGAGGAACTAAAGTGAGAATTAAGAATTAAGAAATTAAAAAAATCCAAGTATTAGACTTTATAATATAATAGAATAAGAGGAATTGTCTTCACAATGATTGGGCCAAGTCACATTTCCCTGCTCCATCCAGTTGAAACATCTAATAAATCTGTAATGTGTTAGATGCCACAGAACGAAGGTTCCCTAGTAGGTAAAGAGGATGTAATGACCATTAACACACCTATGGTATTACATTTTCAGGACTGATGGTCTTTTCACCGATAAAGTCGATTAAAATAAATGTATAACAAAATTATTAAAAAAAACATTTTTATAGCAGATCCTCTTTGAAGGATTTAACAAGAATAATAATAATTATATTGCAACTGTAGCATTATTAACTGGTAGTTAAAGTGCAGGCTTTGAAGCTATAGAACATAGGTCCAAATTCTGGTTTTGCCACTTATGATTAGCTGAGAATCTGTAAGAAAGACACTTAATCTCTGTGGCCTCAGTTAACTCATCACTTACTACATGAAAAGCACTCAGGACAAAGCCAGACATACAGTAAGCATTTAAAACACATTGTTCTTCTTCTCCTTGTTCCAATTTTAGGTTTTTGATCTAAATGATTCAATCATTACTTCATTATACATTAGGTCATACATTAAATATTGTATAATTATTATATCCAAGCTACATTATTAAAAGAAAAATACAAAATGAGATTCAAGCATACATAAAGGCTCATAATATGTATTATTTTGCCTTTTAAACAGCTACAAAAAAACCCCTATGAATTCTGACTACATATCTCAATGATTAAGAAAGGGAAGTGTGAAAGTTGATGTTTTATTTCAAGTGCCCAGAGAAGCAATGTTAACTTTTGTTTAAATAGAACTTATCATTTTCTTGCAAACACACATGCACATTTATAGAGAAATTCCTTCACATTTAGAGAATGTCCTTTGGTCATGACCTTTTAATCCTTAGGACACTTGTTTTTTGACATCCAAGGTCAAAGGCATAGGACCACACTTGGAAAAAATTCAGAACTTACAGATTCAAAAGAGCAGCAAAAGAAAGAATCACATACGTACAAAACTGATGGAAAAGACATGTAAAGTATCAGAAACATACCTCAGGGAGTCTATCATGCTAAGTACTAGCCCCCCTACATTCTAGAGCCAGGATGGAATCCCTGTTTCTTTCATCCATTACAATAAAAACACATTTGCATCCTCTGAGTTCCTGGTCCTTTTCCAAACAAAGTAAATCATTTTCACCTCTATTTACATGCCACCCCACACCCAAGACTGGCAGGCAATCAGGCTGAAGGCATAACTCTGGCTGACATAACATTAACATTAAGAAAAAAAAACCTTTTACAAATAAAGCAATTTATTTCTCTCCTCATTTACCAGTGCCAAGTGTCTCAAATTTCCCAGGTTTGTTAAAGAGAATCATACTAACCAATTTGCCTGGTTTCTTTCAATGAAGCATCAATTATTTCGCTGTGAGACCCGAGCTATTGTGTATCTTAAAACCCATGCCTCCTGGATGAATCCAAGAAGAGTGACAAAGAATCTTGAAAAAGGTATTGAACAAAGAAAGAGGCATTCAGCGGTCCAGCAGTCTGGCATACGTGCCGCATTGTCCCGATGAGCCCCGGAGCAGCAGGCCCCTCTTTGGGAAGGTGGCTCTTGAAACCGGTAGGAAAAAGCTGCAAGGCAGGAGCCCAAAGCCTGCACCCTGACTCTTAACAATACTCGAACAGGCTTGTGCACCTACTTGATAAATGGAAGCGCGACTCGGTTCTCTCAAGCTTGCCGGGGCCCTCTTGAATGTTTTTCTTGACTCTTTACCAAAAATGCAATTGGCAGTCGGCTCCCAATAGACAATGCAATGTGACTTGTTCATTCAAACAACCCTTAATTAGCATCCCATCTCCTTTCCGAGATACAATAGCTTATTTTTACACACTGAATACATTTTTCCCCCTTTTAGGAGCACATAGAAAAAGAGACCAGATAAGTGTGGGTGCTTTTGAGTGTGAGGTGGGGGAGAACTGCAAATGCAGTTTAAAGAGCACAAGTTCACGTTCGAATTATTTTTGTGAACAGCTTTTTAGGGGTTCTTTATTGCAGCGCTAACAATGATCTGAAAGGCAGAAAATGCAAGGAAGGAAAATGCTCTCTTACAGATAATATTGTGAAACCCCACTAATTGTAGGTAATTCAAAAAAGCATGCTATCTTGCAGAATATAACCCCAAATTATCACTATTCTTTGCTAACTGGGCTGATCCTTCTAGCGAAATTATCTATTAATTCCAAAAATTCATAATTTGGAGGAAAAAAGAGGTTTTCAGAGGCTCATGTGTCTCTTGTACAAACAAGTAATTAGTGAACCCTGGCTGTAAAGATTCTGGTCATCAACCAATTCTTCATAATTAGTGGTTTATTATTGCAAAGCAATGCAAACTCCTATATATTTTTTATCTTTCTTTTTTTTTGTTTGACCATCCCTCTCACTTCCACCACATTGGGGCTATTTGTGTACAGGGAGGAAGGAGGTCCAGCCAGTAGTTTAGTTTGCCTGGAAAAAAAAAAAAAATCTATTTTTAAGTTACTTTCTTTTTGAATTCTATGCGTTTAAAATAAAAAAGATTTTGCTCTCTGAGCTAAAGACACATGTCATCACATATACAGAGGCTCTAAAATAAAAAGATGGTCAGTTTCATTTGAGTTCCATTAGCACGTGAGAGCTATAGGATGGGTCAGATTGCCTACAGTTAGTATAGTAACTTTCATTCCTGGTGTTCCAACTAAATATTACCAACGCAGGTGCAGTGATTTATTATTACAAGTACCTTCACCAACATATCACTTAATCCCTTCCACAATCATTTGAATTAGGTATACCTGGTACACCGTTATTATTATTTTTATTATTATTTACCATGTGACAGCAGAGGAAACGAAGTTCAGGTGTTCTGGTAGGGGCCTCTGGGAAAATTCCCTTGGGAATTAAAATTCCCTTGGGAACTAAAACTCTCAATGCCAATATCATTTTAAAAATTTAACTTTCTATCTTTGATATCCATTGTCTCTGAACCAACCCAACTTTGCCGCGTCATTAACCAGAGGCTTTCCTTCCCTTTGTGTAGGAGGCTGGTGCTCACGCAACACAATATTCCCAGGCCACTCTCCTACCCAGCTCAGTACTTCTGTTACTATCTGCGAGCTGTACGTGTTCACCAGTGGGAACTCACAGTCAAATCTTCTTATGGCAATTGTAACTCATTAGCGAAGCCCGGTAATTTAATTCTACATAAATTAATGAAACAGGAAGGTGCAGAGAAAAAGGGAATTGTTCTAGGAAATAATTGTACAAGTTAAATAAGTTTTTCACTGGGAAAAAAAGGACTCAGTAGAAAAAACTGTAGTCAAATCAGGTACAGGTGACAATGATAAAAGAGCAAATTTTAAAAATCTACACAGGATTCTGCATGCATAATTCCTTTACAAACTTTTCTGTGTTCTCTCTCATTATAAAGAAACTGAGATGGGAAATTTTGATTTATGTATAATTTTATAAATTTAAAATAAATTTTGATTTGATGTATAAAGGGCATGATTTACATAAGCTGTATGATCTAGAACTCTAGCCTTGGACTAACACTAACAAAACCAAACAAACAGAGTCTTATGAAAAAAATGAAAAATTGTAGTGTGAACAAATGCACATGTCTTAAGATAAAATAAAGCATTAGAGTCCTGTTGTTGTTTTTGTGATTTTTTTCCCACGAACTTTTTTTTGCTAATTGTGCCAAATAAGAGGGTTTCTAAATATAATTAGAAGTAAAGCAGGCTACAACAATTGAATAAAACCTAACAAATTAAAAATTAAGGTATGGTTATATTTGGAATATAAGCATGTCTGAAAGGACAGGTGAGTAATTTTGCTTAAGAGATGTGAGCCTCTGAATTTTGGGCCACCCTTAATTGCTTGGGCAGTACAAGCATAGGAAACGGGAATGAGAGATTAGCTGTCCAGCATTGCTAGGCAGTGCTAGGCCAGGCTGCCTCTCTAAGATATTCTAATAGCTAATTCTGGTCCTCCAGGAAAGCTGAAATCTGGTCCTCCAGGAAAGCTGAAATCTGGTCCTCCAGGAAAGCTGAAATCTGGTCCACAGGCTCTGTTGTCCATCTGCCAGGCTGGCCTTCAACATTACCTTCCTTGACCTTGTCTGGACAGAGAGACAGCTGGTTCTGAGACTTGGTTTACTTGTTTTGTTTTTTGTTGTTTTTTTCATTCTTGGTACAGGCATACCTCGTTGTATCAAGCTTCACTTTATGTGCTTTGTAGATCCTGCATTTTCTACAAATTGAAGGTCTGTGGCAAGCCTGCCCGGAGACTCCTCTCCTTCCTGGAGTTTATCAGCACCATTTTTCCAACAGTTTTTGCTCGCTTCATGTCTCCATGTCCCATTTTGGTAATTCTCACATCTTTTCAAACTTTTTCATTATTATTACATTCCTTAAAGGTGATCTGTGATCAGTGATCTTTGGTGTTCCTATTGTCGTTGTTTTGGGGTTCCATGAACTATGCCTTTCTGGACCATGAACTAAATCGTTACGTGGGTGAGTTCTGAGTGCTCCACTGACTGGCCATTGTCTGTGTCTCTCCGTCTCCCGGGGCTTCCCTATCCTCTGAGACACAACAGTATCCCAGTGAGGTCAGTTAATAACCCTACAATGGCCTCTTGGTGTCCATGTGAACGAAGAGTCGTTAAGTCTCTCGCTTTCAGTCAAAACTAGTAATGATGGAGCTTCGTGAGGAAGGTGCATGGAAGGTCAAGATAGGCTGAAAGCTAGGCCTCCTGAGCATTTGCCACGTTGTGAATGCAGGGGAAAAGTTCTTGAAGGGAATTAAAAGTGCCACACCAGTGAACACATGAATGATAAGAAAGAGTAAAAACCCTATCGGTGATATGAGAATGCTGGGAATATTAAATAAGAGCTTGGCAATTAGTCATTTATTTATTAGAAAGTAGAAAGGTTCATGAAAATATAAAGCCTGGGAATTTCTAAAGATAACTCCAACTTCATTTTTTGGGGAGGAAATGATTTTTGTCTATTTCAAACAATGACGCTCAACACAATTGAAAGTTGGCACATTTTTGGTAAACAGCATTTTCCTGGTCGTGTGAAGCTTACTGCATATTTCTTTTGAGCCAAGCTTCTCAGTATCATTTTGATCTACAAAACATCAAAGTTTCCTCTATAGAGTTATATTTACATCATGGAGGGTCTGGACAGAAAGGAATTTTTAATTTTAATTTAATGAGTAAGGCATGCTAGCTACTCAGATCGAAAGAATGTTGCTAAATGTGGTGTGAGTTCTGGGTCATCACTGTCTCTCATCCTTGCTAGGTCTGTTCTTCTGTTTTTTGGCTTCTATGGCTGCTACTGAGAAGCCATTTGTTAGTTACTCTGTTGTTAAAATCATCTCTGTAGTGTTTTTTATTTTCCTAGTTGTATCTAGTTGTGGATTTATTTTTACTTACTAGCCTAGAATTTACGGTGATTCTCAAATTTGACAGCTCATGTTTCTTATCCCTTCTGGAAAATCTCTGGCCACTATTTCCTCAAATATTGCTTCTTTTCTTATATTCTCTTTGTTTTTCTTCTAAAATATTCATTTTATATACATTGGACATTTACATACTGCCCTCTAGGTCTTAAACTTTCTTTCATATTTTTGGTCATTTCAGTCTTCTGGGTAATTTCTTTAGCTCTATTTGCATTTCGGTCATTATTTTTACTCAGTTGTGTCTGGCCTGTTATCACACCTGTCTAATGAGGTGTTCTTTTTAAATTTTAATATTTCTATAATATTTATTTCTAGGACTCTTTGGTTTGTTTTTACATCTTCCTAGTCTTTTTTGGCAGTAATTTGTTCCCCTGTCAAGTTTTTAATCTTATATATTGTGTGCTTAATTATATAAAAAAAGCATGTATTTATAGTTTCTATTATTTTCATTTCTTGTAGGTCTACTTTACCTGCTTGTTGTTGCTTCTGATTTTTCCTTATGTTGTTTATTTACTTGTGTTGTCTCATAATTTTGACTTGTGAGCTTATGTTTGGCTGGGCTGTTTCTGTTGAAATTCTCTGATGTAAATCCCGAGAGTGTATGTAACCAGAAAGCTTTTACCTTTGTTTCTGTAAAGTGCCACAGAGTGTTATCAATCAGGATTACTTTCTATATTAATTGTTCGACTTGGCGTTTCCTGGTTTTCGAATGGTGAGTACCAGAGGGACCCTTTTTATCTATCCCTCGAGAAGACCAGATTGAGATGGACTGATTTCCCGTTACAGTCCTATTTTGGAAGTCAGGTTTATTTTTGTGGTTCACCTTTTTACTGAAGGCACAGCCTTTGCAGGAGCTCTCTCTGTGGAAGGTCTCCATTCCTGCTCCTGGCTCCTGCAAGCCCAAGGCTTTGTCTCCAGTTCTTGTATTGTCATTAAAGCGCAAGTAAGCCATAATTCTCTGGCTTTATGCCTTTTATTCAGTTTTTGACTGCTGGGATTTTTTCCCCAAGCTCTGTTAGGCACGCTATTTTTATTTTACTATTTTATCTGAAAAACATCAAAGTTTCCACTGTAGTATTATATTTACATCATGGAAGCTCTGGGCAAAAAGGAATTTTTAATTTTAATAATGAGTAATACAGTCTACTCAGATCTAGGAAATGTTACTATATTCTATTTTATATTTTATGCTATTTTAAATTTTATCTAGTATGACTAGTTTTGTGTGATGGGAGGTTTTTCAGATTATCCTAGCCTGTTTGTATGCAGGAATGTATATATACAGAGAATACACTTTAAACTTGAACAGTCGGTTTTGAGTAGGTAAAATAAAGGCAGAGTGTCATGGATATTAAACAACTGTGCAGGAATTATCAGTGCCCTGATGTGTTGATATATTGATATGCGTGAAACAGTTGAGAATATTAGAGGCTATTTTTATTATGCCACCTCAGGTTTTCATATAAGATTCATAGAAATATATTTATTTAGTAAGCTATATAGTTAGTTAAGTATATAGCTTCATCTACTGGCCCAAAATACACTTTTTTCTAGGATAGATTCAGGGGAAAAAATCCTTTACCTATTGTAGCAAAAACGAAAGAGGGCAATAAGCTTTACAAAACTTATAAATTCCTGCTTGTGAGCCTGGATTTTCTTGATTAGTGCAAGATTATAGTATGCTTAAGGGTTATAACTCACCAAAAAGGCATAAGGGAAAGCTCAGTTTTCTTAAACTCTTACTGTCATCGCGAGGCTCTGATACAGTAATTTTGATAAGGAAGCAAACACAAATGCTGACTAAAATCAGACTGTAAATTATTCCAATAAGATGTCCTAAAATGTAAGCAGTACGTAGCACCCTTTGGGAATTACAAAATTCTGTTTTTATGATGTAAAGGACTGAATGAATGTTTTGTAAGCTAGACCCTTAGGAAAGACTGTTAGTATGGAAACGGAACCTAAATTTATCTCCTTGGATTTCTTATTACGAAGATATTGAAAAACTTGCTTGGCTTTTGTAACTTCCTTCAAATCTTTCTTTCAAATCTCCCTTGCTTAGGGGGCTTCATTCCTCCCACCCTATATAATACAAAAGCATATTCCTCCCTTCTCATCCCTCCTACAGCTCAGCACACCCAATCTCCTTATCCTATCTACCTTGTTCCCCCTATACAATTTATTCTTTCTAATTGCTATGGTTTTATGAATTTATTATGTTTACTGTTTTTTAATCTGTCTTCCCCATTAGAAAGTTAAAATCTATCAATGGCAGACATCTCTGTGTGTTTTGTTTACTAATATATTACCAACAAATAAAGTGATATCTGTCACATAAGTGCTCAAAAATTATTTGAGATATGAATTAGTGATTTTTTTTAAATTTCCCTGCTTATAAATCAGAGTGATAATGCAGAACCCCTCATTTCCTTACAGAGATATGTGGGATATGTGAGATAAATGTATGTCAAGTGTATTGATTCTTCTGATAGAAAGCTGCCACTCATACAATGACAACAATGACCATTCTCAGAAGCATGAAGTGAACATGTCTTTAAATTTCCATCTTCAATGAGTAGTTAAGTACAAGGCAATTTTCCTTTTACAATAGCTCTTCCATAGCAACAGAAAATTTATAACATTCACTACTTGGGGAAAGGCCATACCTCATTTTTTTCTTTGAGTTTTGTGATCATGACAATCACGGGACTGTCTTCCTGCCAAACCATCTGCCAGAAATCATTCACGGTGTTGATCATGGGGCCCTGTGTGGCGATGAATGCTTTCTCTTTGCCACTGTAGCCCTGGTGTGAGTAAAGAGACAAAAATATTGGAGTTGAAATTCATGCCTTGCCCTGAAAGTTTAGAACAAGTTCAGAACAAAATGGTCCAAAAACAACACAAGCGTTCACGGCTTTACTGATTCTAGCACAATCCATCTGGCTGTTCTCCCAAGTCAAGCATGGCACATAGTAGTGAGGGCCATGATGCCCGGTTCTCACTAGAGAACCGCCCCCCCAGCACCCAGAGCTGCAGCCAGAGACACACAGGAAAGGAAGGCTCAAGGTAAAGGACCCGCTACCAATGTCGATTATGACTAAACAAACGAGAAAGTTTGCTAGTAACCGAGTTAAATCAAAATTAATCCACTCTGAGGGGAAAACAACCCCCAACAATCCCAAATAGTAAGTCAACAAGCTCATCAGAAAGATATTTTTATTTACTTACTTACCCGAATATAATTAGCATTAATGTAGGTGCTCAAAGAATCAGTTACATTTTTTGGTCTCAAACACACTCTGCTGAGGGGATCTAATGAAGAAAACAAGAAGGAATGCTTTAGACAAATCTACTCTTTTTAAAGCTCCTTAGAACACCAATAACTACATAGCACACTTGTGAATTTATATACTGACCATCTGGCTTGTGTCAATGTTTGTTGCTGATGTGTCTGTGTGTCTGTCTTTTGATACAGCTGTGTGCACTGAGGGACAATTGGGCCCATCTTGGTCCCTGTACCTTAACACAAATCTTGCCCATAAGCTTGAGATAATGAGTTTACTCATCATGTTATTTTTTGTGGCTTTCTGATTCTTGACCCCATTTCTTATTTATGCTCCTTTTTCTGTTCTTTGGGATTTGGAATTTGTACCAGATTTTCTTACTCACTTCACGCTTCTCTTCTGTCCAATAAAAACACTTGTTCTGGCTCGAATCCCCTCTCCCTAAAGAAGCTGTCTTTAGTTACCATTTGTCCACCTACAGCAGGAAAATCTGATATTAGGTAGATTGTTATAGTGCTAAGAACATTGTCTTAACTCTTCAAATCACTTTCCGTCAAGAAGTTGAAAGGCTCTTTGCAAACCACAGTGTTATGGAAAATATGGTAGTTATTTCTACCAATGTTTATATAAATGAATTAAGGCCAAATCATCCCTTTATGATTTCTTTAGTCTGACACACTCTGAGCCTCTTAAAGGTAAAGACAGAGATTTTTTCATTTTATCCAAGACTCAGTGTCTAGGATGGTGCTTATATGAATAGCAGACATTCAATATTTGTTTATTGCATTGACTTAGATTGTTAAAAAATGTTCCATTATTTAAGAAGTCAGTTCTAGGCATTCCTCTCTAGTAATTGTTTTATTACTGCTTTTCTATAGACTGGCAAACTTGAGCGAGTTTATCATACCCACTGTTCTTACCTCCACATCTACAATTCAGTCCTCCTTGTGTACACCCCAGTCTATCCTAACCTTAGTTTAATGCCGAGACTCCTCTTACTGATGCCACCAATGACTCTTGTTGGGCTAAGCCAAATAAGCCTACTGTGCTACTTTTTTCATGTTTTATTTTAATATTTACCATCTTATATTTTAAGTGCTTCAATTTTTACCTGCTCTCAATGAATTGTACTGAACCCCTTGAAGGAAAGAATTATATTTAATTAACTCTTTTTTTTAAAAACTAACTTTTGTATCCTTTGTGATTTCTACATGGTATGTGGTTCATAGAGTGTTTAATATCAGAATTCATTTCTATTAGAGTTGAAACACTGTTTTTGACTTTCTAGATTCCTTTTGTTAGCAAAGGGGACTGGAAAATTTTTCATCCCGTTTCAGTATCCGCTATTAGAAGTTTCCACAAAAGTCCTAGACCAGTGAGAATTGAAAAGAAGCCCACTCCCTTCAGTTTTTATAATGCCTACCATGTATACGATTTATTGAGAACTCAGCCCTATAAATTGCTTAGAAGCAGGTTCCCTGTCAAGCTAAATTTAGTTTGGAAATTGGTAGTTTGTAAGACTTCCAAGTATTTAGAGGTTTCCAAAAACTTTTTAAACAAGAATGCACCATATGACTGACTAAGGGAAAACTGTCACTCTAATCAAAGCCTTTTAGCCTTTTTAATGTTAGATTAGACTAATAAAAAAAGCTGATGATTAAAAAAAAATCCAAAACTTTATCATCATTATCATCATTATTTTCATATTGCTGTTATAAATGTATTCATTTTATGCCTTTTAAGTCAATATGTGTATTTTAAGTCTATATTTTGGTCAAATTCACCTTTTTTTCAGGACAGATATTTCTGGACTATATGTAAAATATTTAGCTTGCCACTTATGATACATCTAGGAAGAGGTAATAACAATCCCAACACTGAGCAATTTTTCTTCCCTCTCCTCTGCTCTTCCCCTTTTATTTCCTTCCTTCCTTCCTCTTGCTTTCTTCCTCTTCCTTCTCCCTTTTCCCTCCCTCCCCTCTTTCTCTCTTATTCCTTCTCTTTCTTCTGCTCTCCTTCCTGTTTCTTTTTTCTTCTCAACAAATTATTGAACACATATAGATTTAGTGTATAGAACACATGAAATTTCCCCATCTGGCCTCTTCAAAATACCTCTGGCAATTTAACTCTTTCTATTTAACAGACAAAATGGTACCTGGATCCTGATATCCTTTAATTTTTTTTTAAAGATTTTTTAATTTATTTGAGAGACAGAGAGTGTGTGAGGGGGAGGGGCAGAGGGAGAGGGAGAAAGAAGCTCAAGTAAACTCCACACCAGACATGGAGCCCAACAGTGGGCTCGATCTAACAACCATGAGATCACAACCTGAGCCAAAACCAAGAGTCAGACCTTTAACCAACTGCATGACCCAGGCACCTCTGGATCCTGATATTCAGATGGCCATCCTATCAGATTTTGTCAAAGGTTATTCTGTTCCGATGATTTCTTCTCTGGGCAGAAAAGCATTTGAAGTTTGGAGTCAAGAGGAGAAGCTATTAGATGAAAGAAGCGCTTATACTGCTAGTGTATCCCTGGACATAGGCAGAGGATGAGAGGAATAGCATAGTTTCTCTAGATGAATTCAAGATAAGTGGGAAATAGGAGGGAAGGTAGGGACTTGGCTCCACCTTCCAGGTGACTGGGAGTCACTTTCAGTTTGTTGCAGGAGAGAGAAGACTCCAGGCTTGCATTATCCAATATGGCGCCACTAGCCACATGTAGCTAACGTTAAATTAATGAAAATAAAATAAAACTTAAAAATCAGTTCCTCAGGTGCACTGGCTAAACTTCACATGCTCCATTGCTACACATAGCTAATGGCCATCATATTGGAGATACAGAGCGTTTCCTTCACTCTACAGGGTTTTGACAGTGATGATCTTAGCAATGCAAGATGGCGATTATATGGAAACTCCCTTTTTAAAATCCATGTGAAAATTGTAAGAGAAAAAAAGCACTTATATCGTCTGCTTTTGAAACTGTAAAGTTTTCTTTCCCCATTAATGTTACTATTTTCTGGAATTGGTTGTGGGGTTAATGATTGATGCATCCTCAGTTATGTGGCAGGAAAGGAGAAACTAACATTAGATGGGGGCTCACTAGTAGTGGGACACTCTCTTTTCGCATATGATTACTTAATTCTCTCCACAGCCCTATGTAGCAATATTATTATCACTATCTTTAGGGATGAAGAAAGGATGGTGAAGAAAGATTAAGTTGTCTTCCATAAACTATGAATGCTCCTGCCAGGGTAGGGAGGCAAGTCTAACTCCAATATTTTGTTTGAGCCACACAACTTGTTGCCTTAATGAGTGGCTCACTTATTTGCATATCTACTCTGTTCTGGGCACTTAATATAATAGGAAACATAAGTAAGAAATATTACCAGATTTTAGATTTTTAAATATGAAGTGATGGCCAAAGTAATTAGGGTTTAATTAATAGAGTTCTTTGATTTCATCTATATTGTTTTATATTTCTATATATAAATTGTCAGCATGGAATAAATATACATGAAATTTGTTATTATACTTCATTGTGCAAAAAATTTCATAATGATGTATGATTAGTTTTTTTTTCCCATTGCTTTTATGATTTAGGACATAGACCTATTTTCATCACTAATATTTGTTTTTTGTTGCAAAGTATGTGATATAAATTACCCTTTGCACTTTAATCTACCATGTAGAGTGTTCTGAGCCAGGCTGACATCATTCTTAGAGAAAGAGCCATGATTTAATTGGCTCTTGGTCATCCATATTTCTGCTGCAAAACATTTTCCAAATTATATAGCCTCACTAATATGTAAAATCTAGCAGTATTTTTTTTTAAAGATTTTATTTATTTATTTGAGAGAGTGGGCGAAAGAGAACACAAGAGGTGGGAGGGGCAGAGGACGTGGGAGAAGCAGTCTCCCCTCTGAGCAGGGAGACTGACATGGAGCTCCAACCCAGGATCCTAGGGTCATGACCTGAGCCCAAGGCAGACACTTAACAGACTGAGCCACCCAGGTGCCCCCATGTTGGAAGTTTAAACTTGAGTTTATTATAGGTTAAAACAATGAAAAAAACGTAATACTTGGGGGGCCTGAGTGGTTCAGTTGGTTAAGCATCTGCCTTCAGCTTAGGTCATGACCCCAGGGTCCTGCTATAGAGCCCTGCATCAGGCTCCCTGGTCAGAGGGGAGTCTGTTTCTCTCTCTCTCTCTCTCTCTCTCTCTCTCTCTCTCTTTCTCTGCTACACCCCCCACTCGTACTCTCTTTGCTAGCTCTCTCTCAAATAAATCAATAAAATCTCAAAAAAAAACCCTTAAAATCTTAATCATTTTAAATTATTTTATGTAATGTTTCAAATTTATCCCATATTGTAGTCTAAAATAAACCATAAAGAATAGCTTTCCATATAAATTCCAGTCTTCTCTGATGATTTTCAACCAATAGTGGGGTGTGCCCAAACTATACCTACCAAATTATATTTTGTGCAACAGGGGATGGGTAGTGCATTCAGGCTACAGACATTTTCAACAGAAAACCCATTATTTGCAACATCACTTGTCAGCACAGGTGCCCTGGTTCAAGTGACCCACCCAGTTCTGGGAATGGAAAAGCTGACACAGGACTATGAGGGACTAGGTCTGATATCATTTGGGCAGGAAATAGAGAAGGCTGAACTTTATTTATTTTTCTTTCTTTCTTTTTTTTTTTTTTTCCAAATATTTATTTATTTATTTGAGAGAAAGAGAGAGAAAAGGAGACAGAGTGTGCGAGTGTGGGGAGGAGCAGAGGGAGAGCGACTTCAAGCTGACTTCCTGCTGAGCTGGGAACCTAACCTGGAGCTCTGTGGGCTTGACCTCGAGATCCATGAGATCATTACCTGAGCTGAAACCAATAGTCAGATGCGTAACTGACTGAGCGACCCAGGCACCTCTGAGAAGGCTGAACTTTAAATAATCCTAATAATTTCTGAATCCTTCTGACATTGGATGGTTAAGTAAAACTGCAATGAATGTATATGCCCTAATTACTTATATTTGGTAAATTTCAGATGAAAAATCTTGAGAGAGACAGAGACAGAGACAGAGAGAAGCATACTTGTAACACACAGCACTTTCATTCCTGTAGTTACAAAATATCTTTCAACAGGGATGATACTAGATAGACCCATTAAAAATATGTTATAGTGGAGTGTTTCCAGCTCTACCAGAGGGGGAAGCTCAAAGACACCCATTAACAATAATTCTTGATATTACCATAAATATGGAGATTTTGATGTTTTATGAGTGAATTCATGGGCTTAATTATACAGACTCTACTACCTCAATATCCATACTTTTCAAAAGTTTTGTGGCTCCATCTTTCCAGAGTATTGTTTTGAGATGTTTACGGATTTTGCCAAACCCCAACCATCTGTTATCTAGCGAATGATAATGTTACATCCTCTCCAAAGCATTTTTGCTACTCTAAACAAAATAGCTTGGTCCTCTCTATACTCCTACACTACTTGGGCTATATTTCAATTCTGGCTTTTATTACATTGAACATAATTACTCATTTACGTGTCTCTCTCCTCTAGTCCATGACCTCCTTGCTCTTAGAGGCCATTTTTTATTTCTTACTAGCTCATTGCCTGATATTGATAAATTTCATGGAGTTAAATTTAGTTTTTTTCTTTAAAGATTTTTAGTTTTTTCCTTAAAGATTTTCTCTCTCTTTCTTTCTTTCTTTCTTTCTTTCTTTCTTTCTTTCTTTCTTTCTTTCTTTCTTTCCTTATTTATTTAATTTATTTGAGAGAGAGAGAGAGAGCATAAGCAGGGGAAGCAACAGAGGGAGAGGAGAAGCTGGCTCCCCGCTGAGCAGGGAGCCCAAAGCGGGGCTTGATCCAGGACCCTGAGATCATGACCTGAGCTGAAGGCAGATGCTTAACCAACTGAGCCACTTGGGCAACCCAGTTAAATTTTGTTTTAACATTGCCAAACAGTGTTTCTCAAAGTGTGGTCCTGGTATTATATGTATCAGAATCACCTGGGTGTTAGCTTAGAAATATGGATTCTTGGGGCACCTGGGTGGCTCAGTTGGTTAAGCCTCTGCCTTCGGCTCAGGTCATGATCCCAAGGTCCTGGGATCGAGCCCCACATCGGGCTCCCTGCTCAGCGGGGAACCTGCTTCTCCCTCTCCCTGCCACTCTGCCTACTTGTGGTCTCTCCGTCAAATAAATAAATAAAATCATTTTAAAAAATTTAAAAAAAGAAAAAGAAATACGGATTCTTGAACCCAACAGCAGACTTACGTAAATAGAATCCCTGGGTGGGACAGAGGACTCCAGAATTTTTTTTTCTTTCATCCATTAAGACTCTAGATTTTTATAAGGACTCTAGATGATTATTATTTTTTAAAGATTTTTTATTTATTTGACAGACAGAGATCACAAGTAGGCAGAGAGGCAGGCAGAGAGAGAGAGTAGAGGAAGCAGGCTCCCTGCTGAGCAGAGGACTCTGGGATCATGACCTGAGCTGAAGGCAGAGGCTTTAACCCACTGAGCCACCCAGGCGCCCCAAGGACTCTAGATGATTATTATGCACAATGAAATTTTTTGGTAACAGCTTTATTAAGATGTAACTCATATATCATACAATTCACACATTTAAAGTGTACCATCATAGAGTTCTTTTTCTTTATTCACAAAGTTGTACAACTGACAGCTATTTCTCATGCCCCCTGGCAATAGGCAACCCCTAAGACAGTTTCTGTCTTTATAGATTTGCCAATCTGGCCACTTCATATAAATGGAATTATACAGTATGAGGTCTTTTGTGATGGTTTCTTTCACTAGCATAATGTTTCAAGGTTCATTCATGTTGTAGCAGGCATCAGCTCTTCATTCCTCTTTGTGGCTGAGTAATATTCCATTGTGTGGATAGTCTACATTTTATTTCTCCATCAGTTGATGGATATTTTGGTTGTTTCCACCTTTGGGGCTATTATAAATAATGCTGTTACAAACATTTGTGTATAGCTTTCTAATATCAATACTTTTAAAAAGTCTTTGTGGCTCCATCTTTCCAGAGCTATTGTTTTGAAATGTTTATGGATTTTGCCAAAACCCCAACTATCTATTTGTCTTGTGATTGGCAATGAAATGTTTTCATTTCTCTTGGTTATATGCCTAGGAGTAGAATGTCTGAGTCATACAGTCACTCTAGGATTTGCTGTTTGAGGAACTACCACACTGTTTCTTAAGTAGCTGTACCATTTTACATCTCTACTAGCAATGTGGGAAGGTTCCAGTTTCTTCCCATCCCTGCTAGCACTTTCTTTATGGTCTATCATTTTTATTATAATCATGTGGATGTGAGGTGGTGTCTCATTGTGGTTTTGATTTCCCTTATGGCCAATAATGTTGAGCATCTTTTCGAATGCTTGTTGATCATCTGTATCTCTTCCATGGAGAAATGTCTACTCAAGTCTTTTGCCCATTTTTAAATTGGGCTGTCTTTTGATAACTAAGTGGTAAGAGTTCTTTATACATTCTAGATAGAAGTCCTTTATTAGGTATTTAATTTACAAATGTTTTTTCCCATTTTGTGAGTTCTCTATCTTCTTGATGGTATCCTTTGAAGCACAAAATATTTTCATTTAATAAAATTCAATTTATCTATTTTTTGTGGTTGCTTGTACTTTTGGTGCTATATTTTAGAAGTCATTGACTAATTCAAAGTCATGAAGATTTACATCTGTTTTATACTAATAGTTTTATAGTTTTAGCTCTTACCTTCGGGTCTGATCCATTTTGTATCAAGTTTTGTATATGGTGTGGGGCAGGGTCCCACTTCATTTTTTAAAAAAAGATTTTATTTATTTATTTGGGAGAAAGAGAGTGAGTGAGAGTGCATAAGCGGGAGAGGGACCGAGGGAGGAGAAGCAGACTACTCTGATGAGCAGAGAGCCCGACATGGTGTGGATCTCAGGACCTTGGGATCATGACCTCAGCTGAAGACAAACTCTTAACCGGCTGAGCCATCCAGGCCTCCATGCATTTAACTTCATTTTTTTTTTTTTTTTTTGGTATGTGACTATTCAGCTGTCTCAGCAACCTTTAGCTGAAAAGACTATCCTTTGCCCATTAAATTGTTTGATGAAATCAATTGACCATAATGTGTGGTACAATATAATTTTAGAACCATGTGTTTGCTGGAATTGTGAGCTGACCATTTTAAGAAGAGTAGTACAGGATAAAGTAATGAACCTCAAGCTACTTTCATGGTCAGTAGTCTTAATGTGCATTTATAACTCCAAATTTGGTGTGTATGGAGAAGTTGTGAGGATGGGAAGTGATGAGGTAAGGGTGACTGGGGAAGGCTTATGCTTTATAATGCAAACTATTTTATTCAAGAAACTTACTTGGCAAAATGGTCTTATAGCGATTTTTAGTTCCATGACGGGGAATGTCAATTTCTTTGGGATCCACAAAGTTCATTGGTATTTCCTGCAAAAATAAATGATATCAAATTAGTATATCTGATGCTGCCACAAAGAAAATCTTCACAGGGGGCCATCTGATCCAGAACCCTACTGAACTTCAAAGTCATTTATAAAACAACAGACTACCACCTCTGGTTGACCAACACCCTTCCTTTCACAAACATATCAGCTGTACCCTGGCAAGTTGACTCTAAGAAACAGCTCGCTGTGTTAGAAAGTATTATTTTACATACGGTTATTAAAGAAACATATAAAACTTTGATTAGATTTTTAAAATTCTGTTCTGACGTAATTGCTAGAAATATATATAAACAGCTGAAAATGGACAATGTATTCAAATTTTTAAAAAATCTTTATATAAGTTACCAAAAATTTCATTATGATGGATTCTCTTTTAACATTGTATGACTCTGTCAGGATTATTAAAACCTCCCTCTAGAAATGGTAAATACAAAGGGAGTTTTTTTTTTGATTCAAGTGATGGCAATATAATTTTTTTTGTATTAAGGAATGGATTACAATTGTATTGTTCCATTTGTTTTTTTTTTCTTTTTTAAGTTTAAATTCAATTAATTAACATATAATGTGTTATTGGTTTCAGAGGTAGAGGTCAGTGATTCATTGTATTGTTCCATTTGTTGTTGTAAATGCAATATTTTTAGTGAAGGGCATCCGGACACTGTTTTCTCCCACTTAAAAAGAATACAAATGTTTTTACTCAGAATATATGTCATGGGCCTCAAATGATTGGAGAGGAGCAATTAGAGCAGAAATGGCTCTGTGGAAGTGAATTAGATCTTAAAGGTGAGCATCTATAGATGACTGGGACAAAGAAGTCATTAGCCAATGTTTTCAAAGGTCGAAACAAATATGTAAAGATCTGATTAGACAATAGTAGGATCTCTAGTTAAAATTCTGGAAAAGATTGCTTAGATAGATGTTAATGTGAAACAAAGGAATTTATTTTTAGATAACGCGAAATACTATTTTCATTACTTGAACTTTCTTCAATGGAAAATATAACTCAACAGCCCAATATTCATTGAAATGAAAGAAATTATCTACAAATCAATTTAATGAAAGAAATTATCTACAAATTAATTCAAATTGTTTTCAGTCAGTTTGGAAATGTGAGATCATGAATGTGGTCTACAAAGAGGAGTAGCTTACTTTTAAAATATTTCCTAAACTTGCATTATTTTAGATATTTATAATATTCATCCCTATTCTCTGCTTCAATGAAATATTATAACTTCCGAGTTCCAAGTTACCAAAAGAAGCGAAATTGTTGAACATTCAGTAGAAAGCACACATTTATGTTTGGTAATTTCAAGCACATCAGTCTGTTTTGGTAAAGCCATGACAGATCTTTCCTCCCCTGCTTCTTCCTGCTTTATGACGCACTGACAATGACCATCTCCCAGCATTATCCTTCTCTTTGGTATTCCTTGTTGGCCTCATCTTTCCTTTAAGGGCTTATCTCAAAAAACCTATCTGTGGTTCTAAAAAAGAATATTGGGTGTACTTTTGGCTAGCTGTGTGATCGTTCACTGGTTCTTTCATCTCACTGGGTTTTCTTCATATGTGAAAAGATGACACTCTACAAAGTCTAATTTTAAAAACTGCATGTTCATGTTTTACCTTGGATGCTTAATAATAGTTGATGAGGCTATTGGTAAAACTAGCCCACTGCTAGATATGTCATCATTAGAGTGGTTGCAAATATCTGAACAGACCCTGGGATGATCAGTTTATTAAAATCAACAGACTTGGCTTAAGATGTACAACCGATTTACCTCAAGTGATCTATAAAATGGATATTCCCTTTGGACAATAATTAGACCTAAGAAGGTCTAAAGCTCTCTGGGTAGACATGTGTTTTTCCAAATCAACTTAATCACCTGCAGCCCTGATGGGGTCCCTGAACATGCAGTGAACAATAAACAGCAGGCTCACCATGAATTCACTTTGGAGTAAATGTGAACTTGCCACGACGTCCCTCAGCTGTGATCTTGTGAGTATTCGGCTGGCTGACTGCAGATACTCCATTGCCACCGTCTCCCGTGGGGTTGGGATAGCCACAAAGGGTTCAACATTCCCCAAGCTACTCATGTCCAATGTAAGAGATACGTTGGATCCTCGTCTACGTTGGGGAAGACCGTTAATACGTTTAGAAACATGAGTTATTTTGATCACACAAATTTGTCTTTCGTACATATGCGCTCACTATTCAGTGAGAACTTTTCCAGAAATAAGGACCAAATGTCTTTTTCTCTTATGGTGCCATAGATTATTATAGCAACTATCTACAGTTTCCTTATAGGAAACTGGCAGGTTTTTTGTTGGAAGTAAGTCTGAATTGAGAAAATGCACTATAATTTACTAATGGATATACTTGCTAGATATATTAAGTGAAAAATTCAGGAAAAGCAAACATCACATTTGGTTTGAGAAATCATGTATAACACAAACCAGCTTTATTTTCCGTATGTCTGAGAGTTCAGTATAGAAATCAAATAGCCATTTTTGACATCAATATACTGTACACATGATCTCACTGGACATAGGAAGCTCAGAGGAAAAAAACACTTTGGTTCACATTATTGCCATTGAAATGAAGTTAAAAGTTTTAAAATGTATGTGCTATTTATAATTCTGAGTGAATCCCTAAAAAAATAGCATCTGTATCTTCCATTTATGTATGTATGTATGAATGCGTGCATATATATATGTGTGTGTATGTGTATGTATTTATTTAATTCTGTGATAAACTCCTGAAGATATTGAGATCACAGACTCTTATTCTGAGTTATAATTTATCTTCCCTCTGTAATTTTCCTCTTCTAGTTGGGAGATGAGTTGGAGCTCTTCCAACTTGTAAAGGCCCCTTGCGACTTGGATAGAAGGTGTGAGAGCTCTTAACAGTAACACTAGCTGTGTGGAACCGAGACTGAGGGTCAAAGTCAGAGATTATACTCACAAGAACTATTAAATTTAAAGGACCTTAGGTATTTCTGAGATGATCCAATATGTTTCCTAGTGGTTGGTATTCCAAGGAAATGGAGAATAGGGAAAAACAGGTCAAAACAAATGTAAACAAAGACAGTAAGAGCAAATACTAGGCCCAGGATATTTCATTCGAAGGGTGCTTTATACGCTTTCTATAGAGCATGACATCAGGAAATACTCATGTGGTAGAGCTTAATTTTCAACAATGGAAAATTATTAGAACATACAACAAAAACCCATTAAACAAAAGTATGTTAAGTTCCTTCTTCTTACGAATTGATATGTAATGTCATTTTTGTTAATTTCTACATGGTTTATAACTGTAGTTTTAATTCCTGCTTTGGCTTGATGTTTATTTATATTTTTATGAATTTATCTTCCTTATTAATTTCTAATAATAGTAAATGCAAATCATCCAACTTCTAATGTTTGGAATTTCTCAATTCTTTCTTTGAGACAAATACTGTGATAATTTTTTCTGAATATTTCATAGATACTTTTGGAGGCAACTGAACTGATTACCTATTTATATCTATCTCTCTATAAATTTATCTATGCACATATATATGCATATGTATATATACACACCACCTTATTTATATTATTATAATATATAATAATATATTATTATATTATATATATAATATATAATAATTATATATTATTCCAATCTATTTTTTCCTACTGGATTTCTCAAAGCTTGAGATGTATGTGATCTTCCCCAACACCTGTATTGTTATTTTCCTTTATAACCCTGGCAATTTTTACTTTCTATATTTCAGCCATTGTTTTATTTGAAAAGATTAGCAATTACATATTTACTATAAATTTTATCAATATTAAGTATTTATTTTCCTATTAATTCTACATTTTGTCTCACATCTGACTTTTTTCCCCGGTTTTATTGAGACAGAATTTATATACAGCACCATATAAGCTTAAGGTAGACGACATTAATGATTGAATTACATATATTGTGAAATGATTGCCACAATAAATTTAGTTAACATCCATCATCTCCTATAGAAACAAACAAAAACACCTTTTTCCTTGTGATGAAAACTTAGGATCCACTCTCATAACAGCTCTCAAATGTACCATACAGCAGAGTTAGCTATAGTCATCGTGTTGTACAGGACATCACATACATTACATTATTTATTACTTATTATTTGTCTTAAATGGAAGTTTGTATCACCTTCCTTCAATTCACCCTCCTGCCACCTCCCATCTCCAGCCTCAAAAAAAATTAATATTGATGACCTGTCTTTTTTTTTTTTTTGGCATGTTCTCAAAATATCTTTTCTAGTCTTTTTTACTATGTTTAATTCTTTTGAATCACTGTTAGGGTTTAGAGGATAGCATACTGGATACCCCATAAAATATCACTTAGCTGATAGAAGAGTTTGTCCCCTATCATCGTGTGTGTGTGTGTGTGTGTGTGTGTGTGTGTGTGTGTCTGTTGTGAGTGATTGACAGGGCCCCTGTGATTTTTGAGTAGGAAGTAAACAGTTGAGGAGGGTGAAGAGTGGCTCTATTCTCAGAGCAAGAATTTTTATCTATTTTTAGTGGGAAAGCAGTTTGTACAAGTTTCTCAATCCAGTTCCTCTGGCCTTTAAATTGTCAGAAATTCCTTCCTAATTCTGATAATACATTGTTTATTAGTTTTTAGTGTATTTGTAAGACTGCGGCTTTTGCTTGCTTCATACATTTTTTTAGTAAGGAGTTGGGACAGGCCATTTATAATCAGATGCTATTTTAAATCATTATTCCATCCAATCAATCTTCCGCCCCCAAAGAGTAAAGCGTCTGCAGTCTGTCCATTGAGTGACACTCAGTGCTATGGTGGTCTGGTAGAAAGGGAGGTCTCTTCTATCCAGAGTGGACAGAGCTGTGCAAGGAGCAGGCATTTGAGTGAAGCCTTGAAGGTAAAAGTTCATAGATAAATTTTCTGTAAGAGGTTATTCAAGGAGAGAGCCCCGCAGGAGAAAATAAAATGTGGAAGCAGGAAATGATAAGGCATCTTTGAGAAATGGCATATAAGCAGTTTGAGCTAGAGTTCAGTTGTATAAAAGTGCATTTTGGAATTGGGAGGCAGGGTTAGTTTGGAGAAATGAGAGAGAAGCAAGAGTCACAGACGTAAGAGTATAAAATGCTTGTCCAAACCCAGAAAAGAGAATTTCGAATGTCAGCTTATATAAACATCTAACGGCTTTCCACAGCATTCCCCGCCCACACTTGGGGGAAAAGAAGCCTCTGAGATTCCATGTCTAATAAGGTCCATTTGATCGAATGAACAAAAGTTCCGAAGATTCTGTGTGATAAAGTGAGAGCCAAGGAAGCATTTTCATGCAAACTGACTTAGTAAGGAAGAACGACTTTTGTCTGGCAAGGGAAGGAAGAAAGGAAACTAATATTTATTAAACATCCATGATTTGCCAAGCGTTGTTCTAAGCACTTTCACATATGCTATTGCCATCTCTGTAAGAGCTCTCTGAGGTTATTACTTTCCCCATTTTATGGGTGAAGAAATAATTAACTTAGGAACATGGACATGGAACAAAAATTCAATCCAAGCTAGACTACGAAACCCAAGCACTTTCTGATTCACTCCCCCAAAGCAAGGGTAGGGTGGGCAGATTATGTCAGGCTAGCCAGTGCCCTACGTGGAGCTGGGGGTCAGCTGTTAGGGGAAGGTCAAGACAACTGAAGTCTAATGTAGAGGCAGTGTACTAGCCAGAGTATGAATTCCAGCCTCACCGTCAGATTTGTCCGGGCTCAAATCCTGCCTCTCCCATGTCCTTCTGGTGGACCTTTGCTCAGCCTACCTAGCCTTGTTGCATCAGAATTTCTTCTTCTTTTATGAAGTGAGTAATTACCTTCTTCAGAGGCTTATTCCAAGGATGAACCCGACAGCGTAAGTACACTGCTTCTAAGAAGTGTTGCCTGGCTATTATTTTGGGTAATAATGGAATAAAGTCCAATATAATTCCCACCTTCTGCCTCCCTAAGGGATCTACTTTGAGAGATCTTAACAGAAACACAAAAATTGTTTATGCTGAAATTAACGTTTTGAAATGAACTGAATCTACACATTTGTCACTCCAGAAAAATACATCCTTCTTGATAACCTACCTATCTAAAAATTTCCCTTTATTATGGCAAATCCATTTCTCCTGAACCCTAAACAATTTCAGAACACTTCACCTCAACACCTCAGACATTGTCTTGAAGTTCAATTATGGAATTAATCATGTATAAGCTGTTGACCGTGCAGACAGCCTTCTTCCACAGAACAGCCCTTATCAAGGTAGTTCTCTTCTCTCTTGGCCATGAAATATTACCATAGGATGTCATTAACTTGGAAAAATCTCTGCTTTTGTTAATTTTTATTTTCAAGGAACAAATTAAGTTAATTGAAATACAGTGGAATTAGAAAATCAGATCAGTAGAATCAACTCAAAATATCTGTTCACTTCTTAGTCATGTCTTGTGCTTGCAGAAGACATTAAACACACATCTATATATGTTTTAAAGTGCTAATTTTTTCATTATAAAAGGAACACGTGCTCATTGCAGAAGATTAGTGGAACTTAGAAGTTTTAAAAAGGAAATTAAAATCACTCAGTCACATAAACTTCACTAGCTTTTAAACTGACTTTTAAGTTTTGCTATGTTAATGGCAATCATGGCAGTGACTTGTTGTTTTAAATTTTATTTCTTTAGAAATGGGGATAAATACATTTTGATATGATTACTATTCATTTATCAGTCCTAACCTTTGATACTTGTCTGTGGTCTTTCCTAATGTTTACATTGGAGCATTAATGTATTTATTGTTGAAGACTATGATATATAAGAAATTAAATATTTCTCAGATGTATATGTTGCATATATATGGTATATTATTGCCTTAAAACACCAAGGATTTTTTTAAAGTTATATCTACATTCAAACATACCAATCTTTTTTTTTTTTATGGTTCCTTGCACTGCTTTAACAAACATACAAATTCTGCTGGAAGCGTAATTTTTACTAAAAGTTAATCTTTTAATCTAGTTCTAATTTATTTTGGGGTAAGGTAAAGGTGTGAATCAACTAGATTTCTTTCTCCCAAATAGGTTATCAAGGTGT